TTTGATGGAATTGGACAGCTAGAGCCTGCAATTCTTAGAAGCCTGTCTAAATGACTGGATATCAATCATTTCCAAGATATTTACACAAATAGGTAATAAGTACATTTCATTCAATGAATTTTAACATCAGCACCAACTGAGAAGATGGAGACAAAGAGAACTGCCCCCTCTTATGCTTAGCTTAGTTTTATACCTTAAAAAAGAAAAAACCTTCTGCTTTAAAATAATCTGTATAGTAAATATAGTGATTGCTCGCTATTTCCACTGAAATATAAAATGGGGGAAATGAGTTTTAAAATGTGGAGCTGAATTATCTCCCAGAATTAATTTAATTTCTGAATGAGTTAATGAGGTGGCTAGTACACTTTCTGTCTCAAAATGCTTTTCAAATTGCACTGGATAGTTTTATCTCCCAGTAAGAATAATTTTGTCTATAACTGAAAGGAATGATCACATAGTCTTTCTAATGGAGAGAGACAGAGAGAAATGTCTGGATTGCTGGTAGCAGGATGAAGAAACCTGTCATTATCTGGTTGAAAAAGTTCTTTTTTGAAACATACATTTACCTTCTACCCAAATATGCTGCTTTGCTTCTTGCACTATTGTTATTTAATTTACATCAGAAATCATGCTTCTTAAAGATGAATTTAAAAAATAAGCATGCAGCTAATATAAAAATTTTCCTACTCTTCAGTTGCATGTCTGAAGTATGTATTTCAAAGTGAAAGCAGGATGAGCAGGAAAAAAAAAGTGTGAAATGATCAAATGAAAAACACTGTCATTGGCACTTCCTCAGTATATCTTCAAGAAACACAACATATTTATCAAGAGAGCAGCCAGAAAGCTAATGAATTTACTTACAAATGAGAAATTCAGAGCAACATGGGTAAACATATGGCTGATTCATGTTGATGTTTGGTAGAAACCAACATAATACTATAAAGCAATTATCCTTCAATTAAAAATTTTAAAAAAATTCAGAGGAGCCATTACCCCAGGTACTATTAATATTTTCTTTGTGTAATTTTGAATAACTTCACTCCCCAGAGCCTATAACCTCAGCTTATTTGTTATTTTATAGCTGTAGTTTCTGAAGAAAACAAAATTTTCAATAACAATGCAATTCCAATTAAAATCATCACAAGCTTTTTTGGTAGAAATTGATGGGTAGATTTCAAAATTTATATGAAATAGCAAAAAATCTAGAATTGCTAACATAAATTTCAAAAAATACAAAATTCTTCACCTTGGCATTTACCACTGTACCTTACCTGTGTTGGGTTAGTGATGGGTTACCCATTTTGAATATTCAAGCACTGTTTTCAGGACTTCCCTGTTAGTCCAGGGGTAGGGCTGTGCCTTCACTGCAAAGGGGCGCAGGTTCAATTCCTGGTAGGGAAACTATTAAGATCCCCTGTGCCAAGTGGTGAGGCCAAAAAAAATCCATTGTTTCCTTCTGGAGTGGTAATAAATCACAAAATTCTACTGTTTCTTTGGGAGCGCTGCACCACACAGCATGGAACCCGAGCGCCATGTGGTGGACGTGCAGAGTCTTAACCAATGGACTGCCAGGAAGTCCCTCTACTATTATTTTCTTGGTTCTTTATTTTGGTATGTTCTAATATTATGTATTTTTGTCAGGTTTACTAAAGCATAATTCATGCTTTGAAAATGTATAGTTTATTAGAGACAGCTATTGTCTTTTTAAAATTATTTTTTATTTCTAATTTCATAATCCGGAACTAAATTTTTCATAGAAGCCGAAGTGTTGAGCCATGCAAAAGTAGCTGGGTGTCAGTCTCCTTGTCCTAATTAAAATACAATGCAGTATCTCTTATTTCATTCAGTAGCATTTTTTCTAAAATATTAACCATCAGATTTGCTCACCAGATCTTTGAAGTAGAAGGAGGTATGTTTGTCTAAAGAGATGCCCTTTTCAATCATCCCAGACATTCAGTGGCATTAATAAGTCTTAAAGTAGTTATATCCTCTTCTCGTGTTGGATAAAATATGTGAAGTTTTTCTTGCTATTTCCATAATGGATGGTGCTGCTAATTCCCAACATTTCTTAAATTATTTTATATATCGTACAGTTTTCATTGATTATATGGATATGTTTGTTCATCTAATAAATCAGTGAACTGTTAAAATAAAATGTATAGTTTAATGAGTTTTGCAATCAGTCTTCTCCTCCCACCAGATCCTGGTAACTCATGATATAATTTTGTCTTTTCTAAGATGTCATACTCATGGAATCTCAGCCTATAGCCTTTTGTGACAAGCTTCCTCACTTGCCATAATACTTCTAAGATTCATCTGTGTTACTGCATATACCAGCAGTTTGTTCCTGTGTCAACTTGGGCAGGCTGAATTATGTTTCCCAGAATTCTCTCCACTGTATGCTAAGAAGTAGGTTGGGCCCCAAGACACATTCCAGTGTGAAATTTGAAGGGCAGAAGTGGAGCAGCAGGCATTTGGGATTTTTTTTCCGGGCCCTTTCATAGTTGACACATGTTGAAACTTATCTCCTGGATCAACTGGTGAGGGGCAGCAGCCAGGACTATTAACTGTTCCACTTTTCCTTAGATTGTCCTTCAGTTTCTCTGATTCCTGGGCCAAGGGTGTTCAGCAACTTGCCAAGAGGTAACTTCTCCCACAGGACACCCACATCACCAAGGCTGGAGACAGTGACAAGTAACATGGGTTCTAGCTTGTCTGTGGTTCTTCCACTTTGACATCTGTCTTCCTCTCCCAACAGCCTACCTGATGAACTTCAAGCTCCAGAATTAGATACAAAAAACAGTGCTAGAGACTACTTATCCAATCCAGTAATTGTGTAATGTCAAATCCCTATAGATAAATCACTCATACATACAGGTCTGCCTGCAAATATCTTGGTACTTCTGCTTCTCTGACTGAACTCTGGCTCATACAATGCCTTTTTATTGCTGAGAAGATATCCATTGTATGGATGTATGATTTACTTATCCATTAACCAGTTTAAGGGCATTTGGTTGTTTTCAATTTGGGATCTTGGATAAAGTTGCAATAAATACTCATATACAGGGTGTTTGTGTAGACATATCATTTCAAAATATCGTATTTACAAATATAAGAAGAAATAGCTACAAGAGTTAAATGTGACTGCCACCACAGGGAGGAAGGGATATATAAGGGTCTGATGTTACACTTTGAATTTTAGAACTTTGTTGCCATAATTAATAAAAAAATCAGGGAACTGTGCACTTTAAAAGAGTGAATTTTATGATATGTGAATTATATCTCAAAGTATACAATAATACAATGAACAGACTCTGCCAATTTATAATCTAGTGTCAAGTTTTATTTACCTTTTTTCTCACAATATGCTGTCATTCAAAATATACCTCATAAGTAACTCATGCATACAGTAGGCACTCTATAAATATTTTGATTTAATAATTAGATATTTTTTAGAATGACTAAAAACCCTGATGTAAAATCCCAATTGGGAAGTGCATAATCCCATCATAGACAAAATATATAACTTTACAATAAACACTTTTATAAGAATTTGCCCCAAAGAGGGAACACTTACAATTTAGAAATTAAAAAATAAAAAGTAAAAAGCAAGATGAAACACAATACTATTTCAACAATGATCCCTGGATTGGTGGTGCTTACAGACCAAGGGCTACCTGCACCCTGTGGCCTTAAGACCATCAGACATTCAGTTAAGAAGATAATTGTGTACATAATAACCTCTTAACTGGAAATGCTGCAAGAATATGTAAGCAGTACCCTATGAAAAATGTTATCTATATCCCTTATAAGAACACAGAAAAAAACTTAAATATATATTTTATTCTATTTAAAAAGTCAATGCTTTTTATTCTAAGCATCAAGAATGAGCAACAAATAAGCATGAAGTCACTTTTATACAAGCTATGCTAAATCCTGTGGAATTCTTTGGGAGACAAGATCAAGAACCTTAGTTCAAAAATATGATAAATCCTTACATTAAAAGGTCTTTCAATGTTTACAAAAACAAAACAGGCTGTGACCAAACATGCTAAAGAATTATCTTCTAAGTCCTTACTTTGGGTTAGCTTTATAACTAGGAACATTCACTCCAGCTTGAAAAAAAATTACATCACTACCATGATAATAAAAAAAATAAAAGCCAATAAATACCTAATTTTACAGAAACAGTTGTGCAAACTTATAAACATAATCAAATACTCCATAGCTACAAAATGAAAGTCTACTAACTATATTTTTCAAAAGCTACATAATTCTGTAAAAATTTAAATATGTGGACTGACTCTATCAATAAATGAAAATATATATATAAAATACTATTAAGTGAAAAAAGAAAAATTAAAGATATAAAGTGATTACAACCATGTAAAAGTAAATATATTACAATAACAAACACTGAAGTGAATTTAATGTATACACACATAAATATATTCAAATATTCATTAGGGCTTTATCTTTTCTGCTTAAGATTATAACAAAAGAACAAAACAGACTACTGTTTTAGGCAAACCTATATTCTGAAACAATAAATACTGAACTATATGTAAACTCCTAAAACAAAGATTTTAAAAACATGACTTCTGTATCTCAAATGTGTCATATCAAAGATCAGCCCACCTTTGTTGATCTTCATTTTTACAAAACCTTCTGGCAACAGTTAAGACAGTTCTAACTGCCCTTCTTAAGCAAAAAGAAAAAAAATTAAGCACTATTTAAACAAGAAAACTAAACAGCATGCTAATAAAATCTATCTACTCAATCTGTTTTACTCCTGCAAAAAGCCACTGACAGAGGGTTTTAAAAAAACTAATCCTATATACATACTTTATATAACATATATTTATGCTATAAATATTTCAAAGAATGGCTTTTACATAATTCTTTATTTTAATATATATCTTATTAATTGTAAGTTATGCAAATGCAGTCTTTCAGATTTATAATATTGAAAATTATTCTCTACACGATTTAGAAAATGGCTAATTTCTTGGATAAAACATAGCATATTTAGAAGTCCGAAAGCCAAGTAAATCCCTTATTTCATTTCGGAATTTTGACAGATCTTGGCGCAGTTCATTTAGATTTTCCACAGTTGCCTGATCTGTACTTTGCATCTTTTGTCTCATGGAAGTCAAATAACGATGCACTAGACAGCACATCACTTTTTGGTAGTTTTCATCTCTCTTTTGTTTCAAATTTCTCCATTCCTTCAAAACAAAATAATATGATACTAATATTGTACATAAAAAAATGTTTAAAAGAGGTGAATTTTTAAAAAAAGTTTACAGATACAAATACATATTTGTAATGCTTTATTAGATGATATTTTTGCCACTTCATGTTACAAAATAATATTCAACGTGTTTCAAATAAATATGCCCTGCATATTTGTTTTACTCACTTACCTGTATGCTTATCTTAGTTTAAAAACTTTATAGTAGGGATTAGCAAATTTACGACCCACAGGTCAAATATGGCCCACTTCTTATCTCTGACAGCCTATGAGCTAAGAGTGGCTTTTATGAATGAACATGTGTAACTAACTTGATGATGGGGAATACTAACTTTGAACCCCGATTAAAAATGGGTTATTCCAAAATAGAATCCCATTCTTTTCATTAATGGACCTATATTATATATAAAGAAGTATTACTCAATTATTGTTATATTTTTAATTTCATCAGTAAAAATTTTGTGGAAATTTGATTTCTCTCGTTATATTACTACCCACATAAAATCTGTAATTTTGTCATGGCCCACAAAATCTAAAATATTAATTATCTGCTCTTTTACAGAAAAGGTTTGCCAACTCCTGGTTTATAGCAACATGGATTGAATTATCCATATATTAAACAACTTTCAAAAAGAATGAAAAAAATATGAGTTCACTCTGGGAGTCACTCTTTATTTATGCTGACAGGCTAGATATCTTGAATATTTTCCTTGTTCTAAAACTGTGAGATGAGAATTCATGAAAAAAAAAATCACACCTCTCTTGCATTTTCAGTAAATATTTATTGAATCTGTACTTTATGATAGGTTCTATGCCATGCATTAGGGATACAGGAATGAAAACAAACAAACAGTCTTAACCCTTGTTTTCTTAAGCTGTTTTGCTAATTGCTTTATGATTACAACAAGTTAGTATAAAACAACATAAATCTTAGCCCTTAGGACTCTGTATATTTATGCTTTAGGAAACATCTGAAATTAGGAATTATTAAAATTATCACGTTGCAGCTCAAACATTTAACTTCTTACCTTTAAGCTGTTCTGCCGTTTAACCTTGCCTTTTGATGTATGAGAGCAAATCCACTTACTCAGGCTACTAATCATATAGCAGATAGTCTTTGGCGAAGGAATGATGTTGAAAGGTGGGGGTAATGTACATTTGTCATCAAAGTAGCTAAGCCACAGTTTTGCTCGAGCAAACTTCCATTCTTTGTCTTCATGATTCTATAAGAGGCAAATGAAAAACTAACACAGGATATGATTACGCATGCATACACGCATACACATGGTGGGACTGGTAAGGACTGTTCAAAACTGTTCAAATGTTTCCACACCTTGGAGGTAAAAATTTTGTTCAAGACTTGCAATTAATATACATTATTTACATTTTTAAAAGATTTACACTTAATTTTTAAAACATACTAATTCTTAATTCTTTTAAATCTTTGGTTGTCTTACCTACTATATACATTTGGTATGACCTGAAGAGAATATAAAAATTTTAAAAGAATGACTACTTACTGCTATCAACTGAAAACTTTTATGAAGCATTGCCACCAGCAGCTTGGTAAGTACTATCACAACCACAACATTGTATGTCCCAACAATAACAGCTCCGACGAAGGACTGTAATTCTTCTCCATAGCTAAATCTTGTGACAAAGATTGCCACATGTGCTAAGGAGAAAATATACCAGAACAAAGCAAAGCAAGTGCCGATGAACCTGTGAAGACAATTATATTCCTATTTGAAAGGAATTTTAAGCAGCTATTTAGCAAAAATAAAGAATTTATTAATACAACATTACATAAAGAATAGATATTTTGTAAAATAACTAAGGATGGACCCAGCATCACAGATATGCCTTACTGTAAACAAAGAAACAAACTCAAAAGACAAACCATTTCTGTTTAATCTCTTACTACTATTCTGTCTTTTCACAACATAGCAGCCTATGATCCTGTTAATACTTAACAGGATTTTGCCACTTCTTTGTTCAAACAAATGGCTCTCAAGCTCCTATGCCCAAAGTCCATACAAGAGCTAACAAGGTCCTACAAGATCCTATTACCTTTCTTTTTACCCCTTCCTTTTTTTCTTTGAAGTATAGTTGATTAACCCCACCTCCCTCTCCCCTCTGGTAACCACAGGTTTGTTTTCTATGTCTGTGAATCTCTATCCTGTGCAGCATATGCATTCATTTGTAGTATGTTTTAGATGCCACAATATATTATATAGTATTTGTCTCTGATTTATTTCACTAAACATAGTATTATCCAGGTCCATACACATTTCTGCAAATGGCAGAATTTCATTTTTATGGTTGAGTAACACTCCAATGTGTGTGCGTGTGTTTAAGTACACACCCCATTTTCTTAATCCATTCATCTATTGATGGGTCCTTTACCATAGGGCTCATATACATTGGCCTATACCTACTTGTTTTAAACTGATAGTCATTTAAGTTCAAACACATTCTAAAAGATCTATACTTTTTTTACCCACTCACCCACATGGTTTTTGATGTCATATTTTACATCTTCATGATTCTCTCTCAACTGTTTACTATATTTATAGTTGCTTTTATATGTTTTTTCTTTTAATCTATGTATTAGCTTTTTAAAGTGATCTTCAATCCTTACTCTGTATCTGCCTTTCCTAGTGTGATTTTCCCTTTCCTATAGATTCTTATTGCCTTTCCATTTAGAGAAGACCCTTCAACATTTCTTTTAGGGTAGGTTTCATATTGATGAATTCTTTTAGTTTTTGATGGTTTGTTATCTCTCCTCTTGTTCTAAATGATGATCTTGCTGGGTAGAGAATCCTAAGTTACAGGTTTTTCCCTCTCAGCACTGAATGAATCATGACTCTCCCTATCATCTGCAAAGTTTCTGAGAGAAATCAGCTGATAACCTTACACAATTCCCTTGTATATGACTATTTTTCTCTTGATGCCTTTGGAATTCTAACTTTTGCCACGTTATTTATGATATGTCTTGTGGGTCTGTTTGGTTTCCTTTCTTGGGACCCTCTTTGCTTCCTGTACCTGGATATCCATTTCCTTCTTCAAGTTTTGGAAAGTTTCAGGCATAATGTCTTCAAATACATTTTCAATCCCCTTCTCGCTCTCTGTCTCCTTCTAGAACTATTATGCAAATGCTTGTTTGCTTAATATTATCCTAGAAATCCAGTGGACTGCTTTTGCTTTTTCTCACTTTGTCTCCCTTTCTGCTGTTCTGATTGGGTGATTTCCATTATTCCATCGTCGAGACCACTTATGTGTTCTTCTGTGTCACATAGTCTGCTATTCAGTGTTTTTTTACTTCAGATATTGAATTGTCTAATTTTAATATTTATTTATTTTAAATTGATTGATGATGTTTTAAAATATTGGCTTGATTTCTGTCACACATAAACATGAATTAACCATAGATGTACATACTGAATTGCCTATTTTTGTTTTGAGTCTTTTTTTTATATTTTCTAGTTCCTTGCTAAAATCTTTGTTTAGATATGTTCTCTTGACGTAAACTAGTTAGCATTTTTATTACCAATGATTTGAATTCTTTATCTGGTTAATTATTTCTGTTTCATTATTTTTTCAAGGTTTTTCTCTTACTTTCTCAAGTGAGAGTAGTTCCTCTGCCTTATCATTTTATTTAACTTTCTCTGCCTCTATGAATTTAGATGAAACAGTTGTCTACTCTGGTCTTGAAGAGGTGTTCTTATGGGTGTCCCCATAGGATTTGGTGGGATGGCTGGATTTGATGCAAACACCAACCTCTCCTCAGGATGTGCTGGCAGGTCTCACCTTGGTGGGGGGAGTGGCTGGAAATGGAAGGTCTAGAGCCCATGCAGGGTGTGAGAAGGGACATCCTCTCTGCTCAGTGGCCATACCACCCTGTGGTCAGGGGTGGGATCTACTCCAAGCTGCTGGAGTAGAAGCCCTGAGAGTCAATCTGGAGCTGGATCTGTTCCTTTTAAGTGTGTGTGTTTTTCTTCTCCCCACACCAGGATCTTTGCCCCAAAAGAAGCGAGTGCTGCTGTTGGTGGGAATGCAAACTAGTACAGACACTATGGAGAACAGTGTGGAAATTCCTTAAAAAACTGGAAATAGAACTGCCATATGACCCAGAAATCCCACTCCTGGGCATACACACCAAGGAAACCAGATCTGAAAGAGAGACATGTACCCCAATGTTCATCGCAGCACTATTTATAATAGCCAGGACATGGAAGCAACCTAGATGCCCATCAGCAGACGAATGGATAAGGAAGCTATGGTACATATACACAATGGAATATTACTCAGCCATTAAAAAGAATTCATTTGAATCAGTTCTAATGAGATGGATGAAACTGGAGCCCATTATATAGAGTGAAGTAAGCCAGAAAGATAAACACCAATACAGTATACTAACACATATATATGGAATTTAAAAAGATGGTAACGATAACCCTATATGCAAAACAGAAAAAGAGACACAGATGTACAGAACACACTTTTGGACTCTGGGGGGGAAAGCAAGGGTGGGATGTTCTGAGAGAATAGCACTGAAACAAGTATACTATCAAGGGTGAAACAGATCACCAGCCCAGGCTGGATGCATGAGACAAGTGCTCAGGGCTGGTGCACTGGGAAGACCCAGAGGGATGGGATAGGGAGGGAGGGGGGAGGGGGGATCAGGATGGGGAACACATGTAAAACCATGGCTGATTCATGTCGATGTATGGCAAAAACCACTACAATATTGTAAAGTAATTAGCCTCCAACTAATAAAAATAAATGAAAAAAAAAAAAAAAGGAAGGGAGTGCTGAAGCAAGTGGGGCTCATGTACTTACAGAGTCCCATGTAGCTACCTGTGTTAAGTGTCCATGGCTCCACTCAGATGCGGCCCGTGGTTGTGTTTCTTCCCTGGTCATGGCCACTGAGTGCTGCACTGTGGTGTGAAGCGAGTGGGGCCAGAGCATTCACTCAGATTGGATCTGGGCACACAGCAAGGTGGTCACAGGAAACCCAGCAGCTATGCTGCTGTCAGAACTATGGATTGCTACCAGGGTGCCCCTGGAGTAAGCTCCAACAACAGCAACTGCCTCCTCCCCTGGGCTCCACTGAGTTGCCTCTGTGTCTCAAGATTGGTCTTTTCCCAGGTCCTGATGCCCTAGATCCAGGGACATGCTGTGACATAGAATGAGCAGGGCCAGGGTATTCGCTCAGTTCAGGCTGGGGAGAGCAGTGAGGTGATCATAGAAAACCTGGCAGCCACTAGGGCAGACCTCCCTCTGCCCTACCCAGGGCCAAGCCAGCACCTGCACTCCTCATCAGTTGGAGTCCAGGCTCCAGTCTTTCTATGTGTCCCAGGGATTCTCCAACCAACCAGCTAAGGCAGCTTGTCTCCCATGCATAGAACCCAGACTTGGAGAGTCTGTGGCTTGACCCACTCACTCCTCAGGGTAAGTGTCCACCTGTGTAGTCTCCCTTTTCCTTTGAATCCCCCCATAGGGGTACAGGTCCTGATCAATCACTTTCTTCTCATCCTACCTGATTACATGTGTACCTTTCTTACAGCCTTGGTTGTATTGGAGTCCTTCTGCCTATTTCTAGCTGACTTTCACTAGAATTATTCCACATGTAGATGCATTTTTGATACGTTTGTAGAGGGAGGTGAGCTCCATGTCCTCTTATTCTGCCATCTTGATGTGCTTTATTCCCCATTAGTCACTCAGTCATGAGTTTTGACCCCATGGACTATAGCCTGCCAGGCTCCTCTGCCCATGGGATTCTTCAGGCAAGAGTACTGGAGTGGGTTGCCATTCCCTTCTCCAGGGGATCTTCCTGACCCAAGGACTGAACCCAGGTCTCCTCCACTGCAGGAAGATTCTCTACTAGCTACGAGGGAAGCCCAATTCCCTATTACCTTCCTGATTTAATCTAAAGCTCTTCCTCTGATTCACTACATACTATCTAGACTGGCCTCCTGGCTTTTCCTTGAGCATGCTAGTTACACTCTCATCTCAGGGCATCTGCCTTTGCCATTCCCTTATCTGCCAGCTCTCTTCCTCCAGATTCTTCTTCGTGGCTTGATCCTTCACCAGCTTTATAGCTTTACTTGAATGCCATCTTTTGTGAGGGCTTCCTTAACATCCTATCTAACTAAAGCTACACACCCTCTTACACAAAAATCCTCCTTGGCCCAAGCTTTCCTTGGGCTACTGGTCCTTATCAATATTGTATAGTATCAGTTCAGTTCATGTCCGACTCTTTGCGACCCCATGAACTGAGCACACCAGGGTTCCCTGTCCACTATTTTCCTGAGTTTGCTCAAACTCATGTCCATTGAGTCAGTAATGCTACCTAAACATCTCGTCTTCTGCTTTCTCCTTCTCCTTTTGCCTTCAATCTTTCCTGATCTTTTTTCCAATGAGTCAGCTCTTCCCATCAGGTGGCCAAAATATTGGAGCTTCTGCTTCAGCATCAGTCCTTCCAGTGAATATTCAGGGCTGATTTACTTTAGGATGGACTGATTGGATCTCCTTGCAGTCCAAGGGACTCTCAAGAGTCTTCTCCAATACCACAGTTCAAAAATCAATTTTTCAGCATTCAGCTTTCTTTAGTCCAACTCTCACATCCATATGTGACTACTGGAAAAACCATAGCTTTGACTAGATAGACCTCTGTCAGCAAAGTAATGTCTCCACCTTTTAATATGCTATCTAGGTTTGTCACAGCTTTTCTTCTAAGGAGTGGCTTATTCTTAATTTTACTGCCTGTATCACCTCACCAGGAAATAAACTCCATGAGAGTAGTTTTTGCTCACTGATACTTCATTTACTTAGCACTTAGAACAGTGTCTGGCATATTGAAGGTGTTTGTTGTTGATGATTATCAAATGATTCATGACAAGTAAGTATTTCTTATTCAAAAGGCATATCTTAAAGAAAATAGGCAGTTCTAGTTCTATAGATATGAATTCACATATAACAGGGCAGAAAGAAATATGTTCACTAAAAATTTAAAAGACACTCACGAATGGAAGGTATCATTGCTTTGCTGTTCACAGAATATGCCTACACAGTCCTTCTGTTCTTTTGGAGTGTAGCCTTTATCATACAGTTGTGTCAGCCCAATTGTGAAAGAAAACAAAACAAGAAGAAACATTCCAAGAAATTTTCCAAAATCTTGTAACATCTGTCCCATTGAAATCTGTGGAAATATTACATAGGTGTTCATTAAAATCATCTGGAAAACAAAAATATGAAAAACTAAATGACCAGGCAAGAAAATATATGATCCACAAGGCTATTTTTCTTTTTCCCCTGTGAGATATTTCGGCACTTTTAAACATCAAAAATCCAGTTATCAAACAAAAAGCCATTCTGATCATGCCAGCACTGTGAGTGTTAGATGGTACATTCCTTGAATCTGGATCAAGTCTGCAGAAGATACTGTTGCTATGAAGGTAGAGGAAGAGGCATGGAGATTTTGTCCAAGTTTGCAAGGGACGAAAGGAAAATTCCTTGCTGAAACCTAAAGGGAAATAAATGCTTACATTTATAGTTTCGTAAAGTTTACAGATAAAAAACCATTATGACATTAAGTCTTCGAAATTTGTAACCAATTCTAAACCACTTCTTAAAGAACAGCATTTCCTCCTTGAGGACTGACCTAATCTCTGTTGCCAAGGTGATGAATTTTCATTTGAGGTCTACTGAGAAAAAAGTATAAGTGTTAAGTCAAATGAGAGGGTCTAATATTTGTATGTGAGTATCTTTTGTAATTTAGATATGTGTAGCACATCTTATTCAAGCCTAATTTCATTCTCCTTCAATACTCTTTCAAAATCTGGGGAATAGGTGCTTTTCATAAATTCCATACAAATTTGGAGACTAATTTAACATTACCTTTTGACCCTGAAATTCTATGCCTAGGAATTAAGCCCATAGGTAGTACACAAAGATGCATTACATACAAGCATTTTCACTGGAGCATTGTGGCAAAAATTAGAACATTCTAAAGCTGTTGTTACAAAGAATGGAGTTCAATGTGCTGACATAGAAAGGCACCTAGAAAACATTGTCAAAAAAGCAAGGTACATGATAGTATTATAACAGCTATTTTTTAAAGAATAGATCAAATATATTTTTTCATACAGATAAAGTTTGATATGCACAGGAAATTCCTAAAAATTTACACAAGAAACCATTAACAGTGCCTACCTATAGGACTAGGGGTGTGGAAGGCAGATTTTCTCACTTTATACTCCTTTGAATCTTCTTTGCTACATGAATTTTTTAAGATACAAAAGTTAGTGTTTAGAAATAATCCTTCCTCAAATGCAACCAGGTCAAATTTATATAGTTAATCCAACTTCAAATAAAATTCTGAACTGCTTCAAGCCTGCCAATGTAACATATGCCAGTTGCCAATGTTACAAACAGGAGGAGCAGGCAAGTGGCCAAGACCCTCCAGCCCACTAAAGTAAACCAGCTAATTAAGTAGAAGAGGTGCTAAAATTTTGAGGCACAGCACAAGCTAGTATTTCAGGCAACTTGGAGTGGATAGGTCCACCAGGCCTGATGTCTGTGCCATTTGATCAGCATGTGGTAGTTTTCAAAATCTCATGCTTCCCTCACTTGGCCCTCTTGCAAAATTCTGATGGAAGAAACAGAGAGCTTTTAGAATTGGAAAGCTCAAACTGTGTGAGAAAGAGAAGAAATCCATTTCTCTCTTCATCAAGGACAGCTTTATTATCTCATTTTGGAAAGAAATCATTTATTCAGATTATAAGTGCTTCGAATAAAGCCATGTCATGTTAGTAGAGAACCTAATAATGTATGATGGTTAAGAATACAGTAACTGCTTTAGATAACGATAGAAAAGACTAAATTTGAAGAAAATTTAGACACTACAAGCTTAAAGGTAATTTCAAAAATTCAGTCCGAAAGTAAAATTCTTCATTTAATGTCACTAAGTTTTAAAGACAAGTATAATTCAATTTCATCAAGATGAGCAATATTTGATAAGATCAAGTATCAAGATGAGCAATAATTGATAAGAACACCACAAACTTCATGACTTGTTTTTTAAAAACATGACATTAATTCTTGTATAAGATGGAAGAACCAAAATTAGCTACAGTGGATATCACTGACATGGACATTAGCTTGAAGAGCACATTTATAAAACATTCATGTGAAACGCAAACGTGAAAAGTAATTTTAGTCTAATTTTAGTCTGAGAAATATTACAAGGCTTATTTGTAAAAATAACAATCATGCTTTCTTAAATATTTACTTATTTATTTATTTATTTATTTTTCATTTATTTTTATTAGTTGGAGGCTAATTACTTTACATCATTGCAGTGGTTTTTGTCATACATTGAAATGAATTAGCCATGGATTTACATGTATTCCCCATCCCGGTCCCCCCTCCCACCTCCCTCTCCACCCGATCCCTCTGGGTCTTCCCAGTGCACCAGGCCCGAGCACTTGTCTCATGCACCCAACCTGGGCTGGTGCTCTTTTGTTTGACTTGGTGGGCTTTTTTCATGTTCCTTTACCTGTTGGGTATTTCTCTGCCTTTTCATCTTGTTTAGATTGCTGTGTCTGGAGTGGGCTTTCTGTATTCTTGTGGTCTGAGGTTCCTTTTTATTGTGGAGGTTTCACCCAGTGGGTGGGGTTGGACGATTGGTTTGTCAAGGTTTCCTGGTTAGGGAAGCTTGTGTCAGCGTTCTGGTGCGTGGAATTGGATTTCTTCTCTCTGGAGTGCAATGGAGTGTCCAGTAATGAGTTTTGCGATGGATCTATGTCTTAGGTGTGACTTTGGAGAGCCTGTATGTTGACACTCAGGTCTATGTTTCTGCGTTGCTAAAGAATTTGAGTGGTATGTCTTGTACTGGAGCTTATTGGCTCTTGGGTGGTGGTTGGTTTTGGTGTAGGTATGGAAGCTTTTGGATGGTCTCTTATTCCTTAATGTTCCGTGTAGTCAGGAGTTTTCTGGTTTTCTCAAGATTTGGGCTTAAGTCTCCTGCCTCTGGATTTCAGTTTTATTCTTCCAATAGTCTCAAGACTTCTCCAACTATACAGCACTGATAATAAAACTTCTAGGTTAATGGTGAAAAGATTCTCCACCGTGAGAGACAACCAGAGAGGTTCACAGAGTTACATGAAGAATAGGAGAGGGAGGAAAGAGATAGAGGTGATCAAGAGGAGAAAAAGGGGACTCAAGAGGAGAGAGACAGATCTACGCAGTTATCTGTTCCCAAAGTGTTCTCCGTAGCCCAGACACCCACAAAGATTCACAGAGTTGGATTGGGAAGAGAAGGGGAAAGGAGGAAATAGAGGTGTTCTGAGGTAGAAAACAGAGAGTCAAAAGTGGGAGAGTAATCACCACACTCCTGAATAGAAATGGGAACTGAATATTGGATTCTTAAATGACCAAAATTTATATCACATACTACTGAAAAACAAAGATTAAAAATCTAGTGTAGAGGTTAGACTCTTTGAAATACAATATTTAAAACCAAAAACACACAAAAAAATTTAGAAATGTATATGAAGTTTGATTAAAAAATAGGGTTTTTCTCTCTCTCTCTCTTTTTTTTTTTTTTTGGCAAGGTTATAGTGAAATGAAAATGAAAAGTAAGGAATAATAGAGGAGTATTAGAGGACTTTAAAAGGAAATAGGAGAGAAAAACAAGAAAAAGAAAAAAAAGAAAAAAAATTTTTTTTTTCCCTAATTAAAAAAATCGTAAAAATATATGAAAATGAAAGTTGAGGAGTAATGGGGGAGTAATAGGGAATTTTAAAAGAAAATAAAAGATAAAAAATTAAAAAAAATTTTAAAAAGAATAGAAAAAAAAATTAAAAAAAAAATATATATATATCTAGGAATTTCTCTGGAGTTGTTGCAGTCAGCTTAGGTTCAGTTCAATTTCAGATAGCTCCTCTTTCCAGGTTACACTTCTCGATATCTGTAGGCCCCTTCTGGTGTAGTTGGTGTTACCTTCAGGGATTTTAATCTGTTGCACCAGACCCTTCTGAAGCTGTTCCCTTTGTTTATTTGGCTTCTGTTTGCCGTCTCTTTGGTGTCTAATTTCCGCCCTGACACAGGCGGGTGGAGGTGATCTCTTATTTAGGTTCTCTAGTTCAGTTCAGTCCTGCTACGGGGAGGGCGGGGCGCTGCAGACAGATACCGCTCCGTGTGGATAGCACTCACCGTGTTCCGGCCACACTGGGTTTGCCCCGCTCACGGGTGTCAGTGCTTTCGCCGTCTACACTGCTCAGGCTCCCGGCTGCTCTATATGGAGCGGGCCCGGCGTTGAGTGCGGTTCCAGTTTTCGGGTACTCCACAAAAGCGCAGATTCGGTTGCGCCTGCGTTTTGTGCCTTCTCCGGCCTGAGCGGTTCAGGCAGCCAGAGGCTTGGGCGCACTCTCCCCGGATGTGGCGCGCCTTTTCCCTCCGCGGCGGGCAGCTCAGGCAGCCAGAGGCTTGGGCGCACTCTCCCCGGGTACCAAATATTTACTTATTTAAAACTACTTAGCAGTTTTACTTGAGAAATGTGAACAGTAAGAAGTAAAAAAGATAGTAATTTAAAAATTAATATTGAAATTTATACAATAGAATACACAGAGAAAAATATTTTCCTGGTAATCAGAAAAATGGAAATGAAAGAAAACTACTACAATAATAGAAAGAAGAAGAATACTAAAGCTATGAAAGTGATGAGCATACTGTTTTTTTGTGTGACTGAAAATTAATACATCCTTTTATATAGAAATACCAAGGCATCATGAGAATCCTATCTTTTAATATGTTAATACTACTTAAAATGTATTATCAAGGAGCCCACCAGGCTCTTCTGTCCATGGAATTCTCCAGGCAAGAACACTGCAGTGGGTTGCCATTTCCTTCTCCTGGGGATCTTCCCAACCCAAGGACTGAACTTGGGTCTTATGCATTGAAGGCATATTCTTTACCATCTGAGCCACCAGGGAAGCCCAAGACATGTGTGCTTTGTCACTCAGTCATGTCCGACTCTTTGTGACCCATGGACTGCAGCCTGCCAGGCTCCTCTGTCCATGGGGTTTTCCAGGCAGAATACTGGAATGGGTTGTCATTTCCTACTCCAGGGGAATCTTCTCGACCCAGGGATCGAACCCAAGTCTCTTGTGTCTCCTGCACTGGCAGGCGGGTTCTTTA